ATAAGAACATCCAAAGGATTATGCAAAAGATGATTAAAATATACAAAGATTGGCATGAAAAATTATCTTTTGCACTACACGCTTGTTGAACTTCCATACGCACATCTACTGGGGTAACTCTTTTTTCCTTGGTTTTTGGAATGGAAGCTATATTATCAATAGAAATAAAAATCTTGTCTCTAAGAGTCCTAAAGGAAATGAGATTAAAAAAGGTTGAATAGGTCCAAGAGCACTATGAACAATTAAATTTCATTGAAAAAAGAAGATTAGCAATGCTCTGTCACGACCAATTATACCAAAAGAGAATGATGAGAGCTTATGACAAAAAAGTTTGACCTTGTCAATTTTGAGAAAGAGAATTGGTATTGAAAAGAATTCTTTTAAGTCAACATGACGATAGGGGGAAGTAGACTCCAAATTGGGAAAGACCATCACCATATATTATAAAAAGAGCCTTTTCAGGAGAAATCTTAATCTTGTCAAAAATGGATAGCGATTAGCTTCCTAATCTTATTAATTCTGATGTTAAAAAGAAATACTTTGCTTGAGCCTAAAAAAAAAGAGGAAAAAAATGTTCAAGTTGAAAAGCCGAAAGGACGACTTGAATAAAAAAAAAGGAAAAAGTTTAAGTTAAAAATTTGAAATGGTAGCTTGAACTAAAACTAAAGAAAAAAATAGAAAAAAAGTTAAAGTTAAAAACCCGAAAAGACGGTTTGAATAAAAAAAAATTTAGGTTGAAAACCCAAAAGGGGCAGCTTGAATTGAATGAGAGCAACTCGAATATGGCATCACTTGAAAGGCATACTAGAGATAGTTTATTTCAAGAAGCTCTGAGGCATTGGGGCATCGTATTTTGGTTAAATTTTTTAAGAAATCAAAGATTTGTTGTTATGATTATCTGATTGTTTATAGTGGGGCATCCCTATTCTAAATAGCCATCCCTATACACCTTTCATTTTGTTCTTGACCTTTATTTGTAATTTATTGCTTATAAAAATAAATGATATTCATCTTATTTCTACTTTCAATATATATATGCCATTTCTCTTTACTTTACCGTGAATAAAAAAAATGCATAACTTGCATCTTTTATTTTGAAATTGAGATAATGATCAATAATTAAACAAAATAATAAGATATTATGTGTTACTTTGAGAAAATTGAAAAAGACAAGGACCAAAAATGAACTCTTTCAAGTAATAGGAAATCACTGATTTCAAAAGCTTTCCTTGAGGTGAAGATAAATACTTACTCAAGGTAACAAAAGATAGTTTTCTTGCTAAAGGTATACAAAAATAAGAATGTAAATGAAGGTTGTGAAAGCTTTAGTACCATGATGGATGTTCCCTTTGCATCCTAGATAGGGTATATATTTATATCATTGCATGCTCATTCATCACAGGTTCTGATCTCGACTCAGTCCAGATAATTTTTTTGACTTGTAACATCGACTTGATCATTCATCTATGACCTTGACTCAGTCTTAGTCACTTTTAGACTTACGACATCATCTCAGTCATTCATTTATGACCTCAACTCGATCTTGATTACTTTCGAACTTACGACATCATCCAGTCATCTGATATCAGCTCAGGTCAAATCATTTTTTTGACTTGTTACATCGTCCCAATCATTCATCTACTACCTCGACATCAGTTCTAATCACTTTCAAACTTGCAGCATTATCTTAATCATTCATTTATGACCTTGACTCAATCTTAGTCACTTTTAGACTCATTGCATCATCCTAGTCATTCGATCTCAGCTCAAGCTAGATCATTTTCAGATTCACAGTATCATCTTAGTCATTCATTTATGACCTCGACTCAATTTTGGTCACTTTTTGACTCACGATATTGTCTCAGTCATCTGATCTCGGCTCAAGCCAGATCATTTTTAGACTTACAGCATTGTCTCGATCATTTATCTATGATCTCGACTAGATATTGGTCACTTTCAGACTTGCAGTATCATCTCAATCATTCATCTTTGACCTCAGCTCGATCCTTGTCACCTTCAAACTTGTGACATTGTCCCAGTTATTTGATCTTGGTTTAGCCATATCATCTTCTCGACTCATGGTTTAACCTTGATCATTTTCACTCATTGATTTGACTTAAACTTAATAGGTATCTAGGTCTTTGCATCATCCCTGTCTAACAGAGATGTGCAAAGAGAGGCAGCTATAAACACCCATCCATGTCCAGGGATAATCGAGATTAATTCTCCTAGTATATATTATTATAAGACTATAATATTATGTTAGTATGGCTACTATTAGTATTATTATATCATATTATAGTATAATACATTATATTGTATATTAATATTGTAATCTACTAGTATTATTATTATTATTTTATTATTATATTTATTATTATTATATTATCCAAGATTACTATTGTAATTATATTATTAAATTATTATTATTATTATCATTATTATTATTATTATCATTATTATTATTATTTATTTTATTTTCTTTCTTCTTTCCTTTCTTGTTTCGAATCTGACGTGAATTTGGGAAACTAAAGTTTGATTAAAAGGATTCAACATGGTTAAAAGCTTTATTATATAATTAGGGGTTACAAATTCAACCCAAAAAATCAGTAAAGAACCTAAACCTAAACTGAGGTTCAAGCATAATCAAATCTCAGGATTCAAGCTTAGATTGATTTTGTTCGTTTCCTAAAATTGGTCATAAGGGGTTCTATAAATTGGTCAAGAAATAATAAAATAATACACAGTGGATTTTAGAGAGGAATGTCTGGAAAAATTCTAGGCAGTGGCAATTTTTTAGAATTTTGATCTTGGATTTTTGGGTTCAACTAAAGTTTCTGGGTTTAGTTTTAAGTTTCTAAAGTTTGGATTGAAGTTTTGGAAAGTTTCTGAAGAAATCTAAAAATTTTGGGGAAATTTTTGAGTTTTTTTGGGAAATCTGGGTTTTAGGAAAGAACATGAGTTTTTCGATGAATTTTTTGATGAGAGATTGAATTTTTCGATGGGATCCAACAGCTTTTTTAGAAATCGATGGGCTTTTCAGTTTTCAGTTAAATTTTTTGATGACTTTCATAGAAATCGATAGGTTTTCCAATTTTTGGTTAAAGTTTTTTACGGGTGTTCTTGGGTTTTTAAAGAGAATGTATAAAATCCTAAAGCTAGAGAGAGAGAGAGGTACTGAGCTTCTGAGGAAAACATAGAGCGCCTAGCTTATATACCATCTTAGGGCGACATTGTTTCTATATACCTAGGATCCGTGCATGACCCGATTGACCTAAGTGCTGACTCGATCCATTTCGCAAGTTTTCATTTTCCATTTTCTTGTTATTTTCTAATTTTTATTTATTTTATATTTTTAATTTATTTCATTTTTTTTAATTTTCAATTTCTTTTATCTATTTTCCTAATTTTTATTACTTGTTTATTTTTATTGAATATTTTATAAAATGTTATAGTTTTATTTTAAAAAAAAGAAAATAAAAGAAAATAAATAATATTAAATAAAAAAAAGGGTAAAAAAATCTTTTTAAATAAGTTTATGGAATCCACCAAACTATTAAGAAATTTCATAAATCAATTTTCAAAAAATAAAGAAAAATTTAGAAAAAAAGAAATTAATTTTATCCTCTAAATTATTGGAAGATCGATACAAATTAAGTCTTATCAAACTATTGAGAAACTTAATAAAGTTTTAAAAAATCCTTATAAATCCTCTTGTAATAAAATCTCATCAAACTATTAAGAGATCTATTTCAAAGTAAGTCTTACTAAATTATTGAGAGATTTTATTGACTTTTCTAAATAAAATATTATAATAAATTCGACGATGGAGTTTCTTCAGAATGAGACATTAGTCTTTACGAATGCTCTTGAAATGAAAAAATTATCTTAAATTGCTACCAAACTATTGGGACAATTTTAAGATTAATTTTTAATATTAAATAATTTGATAAATTACAAATATAATCAAGGCTTGAATAATCTGAAATCAAATTGATACCATCTTCTGGATGGGTGCTATAATATTTCTCACGCGTAATTGTACTCCCGAACCTAAATATGGTTTCATGAATCAGATTTGATCAAGTGATCAATCACACTTAAGTAAAAAAGATTGGTGACGACTTCTCTAATTTATGTCTAACGATAGATTCATAAATTTATATGTTATGATAATTGGTACAACCTATAAACAATAAGTCATATCGAAACATAGCTTATACTATGTCAAATCAAGTTATATCATGATCTATTTAGTTCATTTGATACGTAAAACATTAAATAAAGATTTTATTTTTATTGAAATTAAAAATGTTCATGGTTCAAATCGAGTCAAATTATGACTCTTAGGTTATTTTTAATGTATAAGATGATGAATAATATAAAATAATAATTATATTATATTTGGTTTGAATCTAAAAAAAGGATATGATTACAAGAAAGATTAATTATTTTTTTGATATAAAATGATTCAATTCTCTCAAAGTGAAAATAATTATTTTTAATCAATAGGATTGAAATTATATATCATGTTATACCTTTAAAAATTATATCAATAATTTAAATTATATAACTTTGAAAAAAGATAATTTTAACTAATGAATAAATTATTCTATCATAATTCTTACATACATCAAATATTATATAATATCTTATTATTTAATTTAATTTTATTAATAATATTATCTTATTTTATTATATTATAATCTTATGTATCAAATATAATCTCAAAACTTTATTTAAGATATGAATAATCTAATTTACCTCAGCATGAAAGAACTTTATACTATTTAAAATGATATTAAAAAAAGTAAAAAAAATATTTTTATATTAATAAATAATATCTTTAAATACTTTAAAATTAAATTTAAATATAAAATAATTTTTATTAATAAAATAATAATTCCAGTTGCATCAAAGGAGTATAGACTTAAAAATCTTTCTCCAAAGCTTAACCCAAAAGCGTGATTAATACCTGACTCTGGACAAATTTTGCTACTTAAATTCTAAAGTAGTACTTTGAAAACCAAATAATAGCTCATTATAACGTGGCGTTATTTCAGTGGATGAATACAACCAGATACGGGACAGCAACATCAACCAACGGACAGCAGCCCACTAACGATCTTGAAATGGGCTCCATCGATTTCTATCCAAACGGCAAGCTGCAAAGCATGTTTCTTCACCGCAAAGCCACTAAGCTAATCTGCAAGACAACAGAGGTGGCGCAAGTTGCCCACCTGTGCATGATTGCCTCCCCAACCATCCGCTGCTCCGCCGCTAACGTAAGCCGTACAATGGTCACCATGAACAAAGACCGCGTTGTAATCGATCCCCATGAACTGGAAGCCATATTCGAACAAAAACGATCTCTTAGATCCAAAATACGCAAAGCTCTAAAAAACATGGATCCAATCCAGAGATCTCAAGAAGGTAGGTATATTCACTATTACAATGGTTGTTTTGATTTATTTATTTGATTGCATTTTAAATGTTTGGTCATTCGTCTCAATGGAAATTTCTCTGCCTTGGATTTCAGATAATGCAATTCAGAATATTGTTCTTGAATCTTCATGGTTCAAAGCTAGTAAGAGCTTATCTGCATACATAAGTTCTCCCGCTTTACGCGAAGTCGATACTTCAAGGATTATCTCCGAAGTTTTGTCAAGTCCTGCCAATGGTTTTGTTTTTTCTTTTTCTTTTTCTTTTCTGGATAAAGTTTTAAACTACATGACATGAATTAGTTGTCAAGCTTGGAGAGATTTTGATTGCTAATTAATATATTAATGGTTTTTGAACTTTCAAGAGAGGAAGAAGCTTTATGTTCCACGTGTGGAGGACAGGAAAAGCAACATGAAAATGCTGATGATATCCAGTGTTAATGATCTCATTGAAAAATCAATGAACATCTTGGAACCAGCCTTAGTAGATTCTGATGGGAACGAACGAGAAGACGGTATGGTTTCTCCTTATTTGTTTCTGTGTTTTCTTTTTTAAACTGGTGTTTCTTCCCTAGTTCCAAAAAATTAACTGTTTCATGTTCAAATAATGCTTCATTCTCACCAAAGTAGTCTTCTGCATGAATGCAGATGCATTAACTAGTATGAATATTTAAAAAAGTTTGTCTAGTCATCTCTTTAGGTGCATTGGTGTTTACGGTCGGAAATAGGCAGCTAAGCCTAAGACATCGTCACCGTTGCATTGCAATTTCTTCTTCAAATTATTTTTTAAACACGGATTTTGTTACCTACTGTATTGTGGATTTCACAATCAATTGGCTCATGTTGCCTTTATAATTTTAATGAGTCAAATTCAATTATTGTGGTACAGAGTTATGTAGCTAGCAGCTTCTGATTGGATTCAGGAAGAATCATCTACTTGTGTTAATGGCTTTTCTGATCAATAACTTTCTGAACTTTCCATATTGATCATTATAAGAAGAGATGTATTTTGGACTGATGAAATCATATTTGCTTTACTATTCATCCACTGTAGCAATTTTTTTTTTTTTTTTATGGTTTGTACTCTTAACACCACATCACCTTGCGAATTCAATGTAGAAAGGTCGACTTGTTGCTTATCCTTCTTGGATGTCCATTGGTTGGTCCATGTTCTCATGAAAATAAAAATAGTAACATATTTTTAACATTTGCGTTTCAACTTTAGGCAATACTAAAGTTGTTTGCCATTTAAGTCTCAAATTTGTGAAAGTTTTACAAGGATATTGGCATCTATAATTTTTTGACATATCCTGGAATATGATCACAAGCCTGTTTCTTATTTTACTTCATGGCATACTCTGCATATAGCTTTTAATTGGGAGACTGATTTATTTTTGGTGTTAGTAAGGCTGCTAATTATTGGAAATTCCCAGTGTAGCTATGCAGGCAAGTGATCCAGTCGACCTGTTTATATTACCTGGTAATAATCTTAATCCTCGTGATGGTATTTCCTGAATGATGAAGAATTCCATTGAAGTTTTATTAATCTATATTGTAGCTTTCATATTTATATTTGCCAACATCTTCTCTCCCTCAAAATCAACATGAAAAAAGGAGAAAAATTTACATTTCCGACATCCACACTTATAATTAAGAACCAAAGAAGCAAACCATGGAGTAGCTATTTCTATATATCTTTCTTATCCTGCTTCGTTTCTCTTTCTGCTGGGTTTACATACAAAAACTTTCACTTTGTTTCTATTTCTTCAGGGCTTGCATTTGACAAATCCGGAAGTCGTTTGGGCCGAAGTGGGGGGTGGGTTAACGCTTTCCAGCTTTCTGATATATTGTATTATTCTTCGTTTTTGGATGGCATTGTTAAGAATCATAGCAATTACAGTTGTTATAGTTCTATTTGCTATATTCGTTTTTATGGCTCTGGTCTTCAGCAATAACTATATGATTATTAGATTCAATATGACTGCTCAGCATGAGGTGTTTACCGCAGAAGTTATCACAAACTTAGAATAGATATATCTATTTGTGTTTCATTTTACTTTATTGGCATTTTGATTATATTTTCTTTAAACATTTTTGCTTATTTTCTCCCATTATGTCAATGCATGGTAATACCTGGAAGTTACTATGATTTGTTCCTGAAGAGCTACCAAGAGCTCACAAAGGAGAGGAGATGGAAGCAGCCCCTCCTTGGTAAGTACCACTGATGCCGGATCTTCACTTAATTGCATAGTAATAATACATGCTTCAGGACCTGATAGCAGCCATGATATAAATTGCAATATGTATTCCTATTGTTTTAAAAGTTTGTTTGACTATTGTTTGGTTGCAGTTGCACTTTCATATTCTGTGCAAATTATTGGGGAAGGACCAATACCTGTTACTCCCTTCGACATTCCCGTGGATGCTCTTGTATCACCAACTGGTTTTACTGCAATAAGCTCAGCTGCTTTGAGATGTGACTGAGCAAAGCATCTCTTTTCTGTGGCATAAGCTGGTATCTAATGAAAATGAAGTATGGTCAGCATAATAAATTGGTGAATTTTGAATGGGAATATATTATTTCATTTTTCTTATCATTGGAAGGAAACTCGATTGAATGGGCACAAATCTTGATCGTGGTAATCGCATAATGGAAAATAGTTTGGATCAGGGTGTTTTTCATGCTTGGAAATTTAAACTTATGCTATTTCTGAATTATGATGCTGTTGAAAGCATTAGTCTGGCTGCTTCGTGTATAGCTAGAAAATCTAATCAATTGTAACAGGAGAGAATCATGATAGACAACCACAGTCAACAGAACTGGGACATTCTTCAAGAAGCTTGCACTCAAGATTCTTTCCATGCTGCCTTTGAAGTGGTGTTTTTATATTGTTTCTGCTGCTTAGGGGCTGTTGGCACCATGAATTGTTTTACTAAGACAAAATGTTGCACCAATGAAATTTTTGTATGTTTCCTAGGCTCATATGCTCTTTTTTTTTTTTGTTTTTTTTTTTAATAAAGTCATGTCTGGTTAGGAATTTGTATGTTCAACACTGGCAATGAGGAACCATTTATCTTGCACTTCTAAAGATGTGTTGAGTCATTCCTGCAAATCCCATTAATTTCCAGCGCAAGGGAAATTACAATGCCTGATCCAAGTGCCATAATATGCAATGTCAAATTGACGACAGTGATAGTCCATCCTTAACTCAAATGGAGTTTTTCAAAATTTTGAACGTTTTGTTTTTGTGAATTGTGAGCTTCTCTTGTACAATTGTTGTATTCATAAAATATACAAATGCTGCAATGCCAATTCTATCTAGAAGAAGAGTACTTGGCAATTACTACGTGCCAACTCCACTGTTTAACACTCAGCCAAACTCATCTTGGCTTATTTTAGATTTATCTACTTATGAGTTTGATGGTTAATTTGTATATTTAATTATTCAGTAATTTTTTATATATAAATATAATATTTGATTATGATTATAACTTGTATTTATAATTTAAAAAAAAATTGACTTCAACTTAAAAAAATTAATAATAATAAAAACGAATTTTTGAATATATAAAAAAAATAAGAATTTTAACTGTTAAAAAAATATAATTTTGGAGTATAAAAAAAAGAAGGCAAAAATATTAGACTGACGGAATACAATGATTAAAATTCATAGTAATCAATTTTATTTTTATACATACCAGAAAGTCCAAGAAAAAAGAGAGAATTTGATCTTAGACTATATCCATATCCCTACTAATTTGATCTGTCAAGCCATGTTATTTAACAATTGTTCAGAAAAATCATGTCAAACATTACAATCTTAAATTACAAATTATAGCATTATTTTTGTATATATTAATTAAGATTCACAATAATTAAATGACAATAAAATTTTCTTGAAATGATATATTAAACACTACCTTTTTTTTTTTATTACATAAATTAAAATAAAGTGTCAATCTTAAGCTTGTTACCATACCTTTTATATACATGTGATAATTAATAAGTAATTATACTTCTCTTTCTTTAAAAAAAAAAAAAAAAGAAACCGATGGTCGAAGTCTGCAAAGCTTCGTTGGAAGTTCGTCTTAGTTTCGTTGGGATCTAGGTTTGTTCGTCTGAAACTGGAAAACTTGTCAAACCATCACAAGAAACTAGAGAACTTGCTGGAATTTAGTAGGAAAATTTAAATTTTATTGGAAAATTTAATTGGAAACTAGGAATTTCCAAAAAAAAAAATAGTTTCTAGAAAAAAAATCCCTTTCCATGAATTTTGATCTCCTAAAGCAATTTCCCCTATCTTTCCCTTAAATTGAATCAAATTCCAACCTTCAATACAACTTCTAGAAAAAAAATCAACAAAAATCAAAACTCCTTTGTTTTTACCGTCGACCTCAACTCTTTGGATTTTTTTTTTTAATTCTTCTTTTTCCCTTTTGATTTCTATGTCTTTTGTTGCATTGCTTGCAATATTATTTATAAGAAAAATTAGGAGAGTTTCTAATCACTCCAAACTCAAATTTTGAAACTTTCTATTATTACAAAAAAAAAAAAAAAACTACAATTTATCCTTAAGAGTCCTAACCCAATTCCAACTTTGATATAGCTTAAATTATTGCCAAAATTCTTTTTACTCTCATCAACCCTATCACCAACCTTCTTTTTTTAATTTTAAAATTCTCCCTTTTTTTAGTAAATAATTAGATAATTAGAGTAGGAATAAGATGAGAAAACAATAAACAAAAAAAGATAAAAAGGAGATAAATAATACAAATAAAAATATATAATAAGAAAATGAAGGATAAATACAAAAGATAAAATAGAAAAATAAAATAATAAAAAGATAAAAAAATAAAAAAAAATAAAAAAGTATAAATAAAAATCCCAAATTTAACAATCGGGCTTGAAAGAAATCTGAGCCCAACTAATGTAGGCCTTGGACTAAATAGAGTATTTACAGGTGCTCATTTTTGTATAGTTCTTATGAAGCATAAATTGCATAAAGACATAGACATCTATTATGTCCGGGTCCAAATCATTCAACATTTTTTTACGAAAAGCTCATTGAAAATAAATGCACACCACTATTAAAAATCAAGAGCTCTTTCAATACGAGGGCACACAACTTTAAAAATTAAGGGTTCCTTCAACACGAGAGCACACAACTTTAAAAATTAATGAGCCAATATGAAGGCATATAACTTTAAAAATTAAGGGCTCCTTAATATGAAGGCAAACAACCGTAAAAATAAGGACAATACCCAAAAGTTTTGACAATTATGCTTTAAGGTCTTATAGATTGTATTCGAAGAACTAGGAGATTATACCTAGAAGTCGTACAAATCATTCTTTAAAATTGAAAAATGCTCTTTTAAAACAAAGGCTCTATAACTTTAAAATTTTGGAAAATCTTTCTTAACCATGATTGATTCTCTTAACAAATGTCTTTTTCTTTCAAAAATTGGAATCTTACTTTAGAAGTTTGTTTTCAATGGAGAAATTAAACTTTCTTCTCCAAACATTTTCCTCAATTGAAGATTTAGAACTTTATACTTGCATTTTTCATGTTGGATCTTGCAATATCCTTATTTTTTAAATGCATGCACTAGATGTTTTTAAATTCTATTCATGTAATATAGATGCCAATTAATGCAGATGTCAATTAATGCATTTCCAAGTGTGGTATAGATTCTCAAGACTCTTTTCTTTTGGTTTCCAAGGTTTTCAAGTATTGGGCAATGAGAACAAAACCTAATTGATCCTTAATTATCCCTTTCATTCAAAGTTGACACCCATATCTTTTTTTTTTTTTGAAACCTTCCTTTTTCATTTCAAAAGTTAGTGTCTTTACCTAGTCTTGAATATTTTATTTATGCCTTTGTCACTTTCAACTTTTTCAAAATAGTGTAAGGATCTTTCATGTCATTATTCATTTATCAATCATTATTTTAATTTTAAGATGCAAAATGCAATCATACATTTCTTCTATTCATTACAAGGCATTAAGAGGAGAAGAAAAGGAATTAAATGAAAATGAAATATAGGCATTAGAACAAAAAGAGAAAGAATGAAATGAAAATGATATATCTTTCATTTGAAAAGTACTAATTGGATAATTTTGGCAATTGGACAATGTAAAAGGGAAAAAAATATAAAGATGGATACTTAGGACAAAAGCGCCCAAAATGAATAACTAAATAATCATGACTAACATATTTTGGATTCTTTCTCAAAAACCCAATTACATAATTCTTGATACCTCAGAGCTCATCAAAACATATCGGCCCCCTGTGCTAGCCAATTCCTAACTAATGATAAATTTTTCTTCCCTAAGTTGTCTTTTCAAATTTTCAACTTAGATAAAACTCATTTTGACTTAAACTGTCATTTTGGGTTTACAAATTGAGTCCTCTTTTTTTCTTTTTTCTTTTCAAGCAAAGTGTTTTGTCACAATATTAGAGTTTATGAGATTAGGTAAATCATCTCCATCCATCTCTACTAAGATTAGTGCTTCATCTAAAAAAACTTTTTTCACAACATATTGACCTTCCTAATTTGATGTTCATTTTTCCCTCTTATCATGTTGACTTAAGAGTTTTTTTTTCAAAACCAGTTTTTTTTCTTGAAAATGATAATGTTGGACTTTCTTGTTATGAGCTCTCATCATCGTTTTTTGATATAGTTAACCATGGTACAATGTTATGAGTTGTTTCTCTTCAATGAAATTCAATTGCTTATAAAGCTCATGGACCCATTCATCTTATTCTGACCCAACTTTTCTTAAAATCATCAAAGATGGAATTTTCACTTCCACTAACAACATAGCTTCCATCACATAAACCAAGAAAAATGGGGTTACCCAAGTAGAAATATGTATTGATGTTCGATAAGCATGCAAGATAAAAGGTAACTTATCATGCCAATTTTTATAGGTTTTAGTCATCTTTTCTAGAATTCTTTTAATATTTTTGTTTATGTTTTCAACTGTCTTATTCATTTTTAGATGATATAATGTTGAGTTATGGTGCTTGATTTTAAATTGGACATATATCTTATTCATCATCTTACTATTTAGGTTTTTGTCATTATTAGAAATGATCATTTTTTAGAGTCCATATCTATAGATTGTCTTTTTTTATGAACTTGTAGATTATAGCTTATGTTGCACTACCATATGAAGCTGTCTTTACCCATTTTGAAAAGTAATCTATTATCATAAAAATGAATCTATGCCTATTTAAAGCCTTTGAGGGTGATAATACCAATAATATTCATGCTTCACATTAAGAACAGTTATGGTGGTGCCAAAACTTGTAAAGCAGTACGTAGAGCATGGATATTATCAACATAGATTTGGCATGTGTGACATTTTCGAGCATAATCGATGCTGTCACTTTTCATTGTTAACCAGTAGTATATAACTCTCATTATCTGCCTTGCTATCATATGTCTATTCGTACGTGCCTAACATATTCCATTATGCACCTCTTCAAAAATCTTCTTGGTTTCTGTTGCATTTACGCATTTTAATAGCATATAATCTCAGCCTTTCTGATAAAAAATATTTTTATCTAAGAAGAAACCTAAAGCTAGTCTCTTGATAAATCTTTTATCATTCTCTGTTACTTGGTCCAGATATTATTGATTCTTAACATATTGTATGATATCGTAATATTATGGCTTCCTATGAATTTTCTTTTCAATATTGGGGCAATAAGCTGGCACATTTTTGACATATAATATGATGGGCTGAATCTTAGTATTCTTATCAATTTGGATCATTGTAGCTAAAATAGCTAAAGAATTAACAATCTGATTCTTTTTTTGAGGTAAGTGCTCAAACTAGATTGCTTTAAATTGCTTAATTAGCTCTGAGATATTTTTATGATATGAAATGAGCTCTGAATCTCTTATATCTCATTTTTCTTTAAATTGATAGATGACTAATGCTGAATTTCCATACATCTTCAATACTTTAATCTTTTTATCTATGATGGCTTGTAAATCTATAACACATGTCTTATATTCAGCGACATCATTAGTGCAATTAAAGTTCAATCTCGCTGTAATAAGGTAATAATGTTCCTTAGGTGATATTAAAAATATCCAAATTCCATCCCCTAAGGTATTAGTAGCTTCATCAAAGTACATTCTCTAAGATTTCTTATTAT